GGACAGGTTGGTGAGGGGCGCCTCGCGACCCGCTGGTTCACCTCGCTCCATCCCTGAGTTACTCGGTCCTTTCGTACATTCGCCCAATATTCGTACAATATATGTTTAATATGAGCACATAAACTCTGTTCATGATGCCAGGCCGTTCTATGTACTATGTACAATGTTCTTTGTACTTGTACTATGTTCAAGTAGTACACACCACCTTGGTGTTGTGTACTTGTACTATGTTCAAGTAGTACACACCACCTTGGTGTTGTGTACTTGTACTATGTTCAAGTAGTACACACCACCTTGGTGTTGTGTACTTGTACTATGTTCAAGTAGTACACACCACCTTGGTGTTGTGTACTTGTACTATGTTCAAGTAGTACACACCACCTTGGTGTTGTGTACTTGTACTATGTTCAAGTAGTACACACCACCTTGGTGTTGTGTACTTGTACTATGTTCAAGTAGTACACACCACCTTGGTGTTGTGTACTTGTACTATGTACATCCTGTGTACCTGAACTATTTACTAGTACATAGTGACGTTAGTCCGTGAGAACGTTAACATTATCATGTGCCAAAAAAGTTCCCTTTATTTTTATAGTTACCTTGGAAGTTGTGTGTGTGTGTACTCACCTATTTGTACTCACCTATTTGTGCTTGCAGGATCGAGCATTGACTCTTGGATCCCGCCTTTCCAGCTATCGGTTGTTTACAGCAATGACTCCTGTCCCATTTCCCTATCATACCTAGTTTTAAAAGTATGAATAGTATTTGCTTCCACAACCTGTTCCCCAAGTGCATTCCATTTTTCCACTACTCTCACGCTAAAAGAAAACTTCCTAACATCTCTGTGACTCATCTGAGTTTCCAGTTTCCACCCATGTCCCCTCGTTCTGTTATTATTACGTGTGAACATTTCATCTATCTCCACTTTGTCAATTTGTGTGTGTGTGTGTGTGAGTGTGTGTGTGTGTGTGTGTGTGTGTGTGTGTGTGTGTGTGTGTGTGTGTGTGTGTGTGTGTGTGTGTGTGTGTGTGTGTGTGTGTGTGTGTGTGTGTGTGTGTGTGTGTGTGTGTTTACTAGTTGTGTTTTTGCGGGGGTTGAGCTTTGCTCTTTCGGCCCGCCTCTCAACTGTCAATCAACTGTTTACTAACTACATTTTTTTTTTTCCCACACCACACACACACACACCCCAGGAAGCAGCCCGTGACAGCTGACTAACTCACAGGTACCTATTTACTGCTAGGTAACAGGGGCACTTAGGGTGAAAGAAACTTTGCCCATTTGTTTCTGCCTCGTTCGGGAATCGAACCAGCGCCACAGAATTTCGAGTCCTGCGCGCTATCCACCAGGCTACGAGGCCCCATAAATTCTGTGTGTGTGTGTGTGTGTGTGTGTGTGTGTGCGTGTGTGTGGTCGAACATTTGGAAGAGTATTATGGAACACATTCTTGTTCCATAAGGAGAGGGTGAGGCTCCCGGGCGCAGGTACTGGAGATGTCAGCCATAATTTCCACCGTTCATGAGTGCAGAGAGAGAGAGAGAGACAGACAGAGAGAGAGAGAGACAGAGAGACAGAGAGAGAGAGAGAGAGAGAGAGAGAGAGAGAGAGAGAGAGAGAGAGAGAGAGAGAGAGACAGACAGACAGACAGACAGACAGACAGACAGACAGACAGACAGACAGACAGACAGACAGACAGACAGACAGACAGACAGACAGACAGACAGACAGACAGACAGACAGACAGAGAGGTGGGAAGGGGTCGAGCTACTCATAAGTGCCTCACAAAGCCATACATTTAGTGTCTGTCATTGGAAGCAGGCCTAAGGTGGTTTGAAACAAGGCTTCTGAGTGGCCCACATAGCCACCATGACTGAGTGGCCCACATAGCCACCATGACTGAGTGGCCCACATAGCCACCATGACTGAGTGGCCCACATAGCCACCATGACTGAGTGGCCCACATAGCCACCATGACTGAGTGGCCCACATAGCCACCATGACTGAGTGGCCCACATAGCCACCATGACTGAGTGGCACACATAGCCATCATGGCTCTGAGTGGCCCACATAGCCACCATGACTGAGTGGCCCACATAGCCACCATGACTGAGTGGCCCACATAGCCACCATGACTCTGAGTGGCCCACATAGCCACTATGACTCTGAGTGGCCCACATAGCCACCATGACTTAGTGGCCCACATAGCCACCATGACTGAGTGGCCCACATAGCCACCATGACTGAGTGGCCCACATAGCCACCATGACTGAGTGGCCCACATAGCCACCATGACTCTGAGTGGCCCACATAGCCACCATGACTCTGAGTGGCCCACATAGCCACCATGACTGAGTGGCCCACATAGCCACCATGACTGAGTGGCACACATAGCCATCATGTCTCTGAGTGGCACACATAGCCACCATGACTGAGTGGCCCACATAGCCACCATGACTGAGTGGCCCACATAGCCACCATGACTGAGTGGCCCACATAGCCACCATGACTGAGTGGCCCACATAGCCACTATGACTGAGTGGCCCACATAGCCACCATGACTGAGTGGCCCACATAGCCACCATGACTGAGTGGCCCACATAGCCACCATGACTGAGTGGCCCACATAGCCACCATGACTGAGTGGCCCACATAGCCACCATGACTGAGTGGCCCACATAGCCACCATGACTGAGTGGCCCACATAGCCACCATGACTGAGTGGCCCACATAGCCACCATGACTGAGTGGCCCACATAGCCACCATGACTGAGTGGCCCACATAGCCACCATGACTGAGTGGCCCACATAGCCACCATGACTGAGTGGCCCACATAGCCACCATGACTCTGAGTGGCCCACATAGCCACTATGACTCTGAGTGGCCCACATAGCCACCATGACTTAGTGGCCCACATAGCCACCATGACTGAGTGGCCCACATAGCCACCATGACTGAGTGGCCCACATAGCCACCATGACTGAGTGGCCCACATAGCCACCATGACTCTGAGTGGCCCACATAGCCACCATGACTGAGTAGCCCACATAGCCATCATGACTCTGAGTGGCACACATAGCCACCATGACTGAGTGGCACACATAGCCACCATGACTGAGTGGCCCACATAGCCACTATGACTGAGTGTAGCCCCACATAGCCACCATGACTGAGTGGCCCACATAGCCACCATGACTGAGTGGCCACCACATAGCCACCATGACTGAGTGGCCCACATAGCCACCATGACTGAGTGGCACACATAGCCACCATGACTGAGTGGCCCACATAGCCACTATGACTCTGAGTGGCCCACATAGCCACCATGACTGAGTGGCCCACATAGCCACCATGACTGAGTGGCCCACATAGCCACCATGACTGAGTGGCCCACATAGCCACCATGGCTTGACTGATAACCGCAGCATCAACATGTCCAGTGGTCTCTCGATAGCTTCTATACGGTTCTTCTTGTGACATTTCTAAGTTCTATTGACAGGAGAGTGACTGGTGGTAGGAGATGTCTGCTCTGTGTTCAGGGCTGCCGGGCTCTGTGTTCAGGGCTCCCGGGCTCTGTGTTCAGGGCTCCCGGGCTCTGTGTTCAGGGCTGCCGGGCTCTGTGTTCAGGGCTCCCGGGCTCTGTGTTCAGGGCTGCCGGGCTCTGTGTTCAGGGCTCTCCCGGGCTCTGTGTTCAGGGCTGCCGGGCTCTGTGTTCAGGGCTGCCGGGCTCTGTGTTCAGGGCTCTGCCGGGCTCTGTGTTCAGGGCTCTGCTCTGTGTTCGGGCTGCCGGGCTCTGTGTTCAGGGCTCTCGGGCTCTGTGTTCAGGGCTCTCGGGCTCTGTGTTCAGGGCTCCCGGGCTCTGTGTTCAGGGCTCTCGGGCTCTGTGTTCAGGGCTGCCGGGCTCTGTGTTCAGGGCTCCCGGGCTCTGTGTTCAGGGCTGCCGGGCTCTGTGTTCAGGGCTCCCGGGCTCTGTGTTCAGGGCTGCCGGGCTCTGTGTTCAGGGCTCCCGGGCTCTGTGTTCAGGGCTCCCGGGCTCTGTGTTCAGGGCTGCCGGGCTCTGTGTTCAGGGCTCCCGGGCTCTGTGTTCAGGGCTGCCGGGCTCTGTGTTCAGGGCTGCCGGGCTCTGTGTTCAGGGCTCCCGGGCTCTGTGTTCAGGGCTGCCGGGCTCTGTGTTCAGGGCTCCCGGGCTCTTTACTCAAAATATTTTGCACTTCTTACCATGTCTCTCATTCCATTATGTTGAGGTTTTCTTGTGCCTCGGGCTAGGGTTCGTCAAACGTTTAGTCAACCACATACGAAACCTGTATATCTTTCCTCAAACATGGCAGCTCTGCTTTCGTTATTACACAAATTTATGAGCTTGGAAACTTCACAACCCTAAGTTGTTATTATTGTTAACAACCTCCTTATAGAGCCTGTCCTCTCGGTATCCTTCATGTCTATACATCGTTGTAAGTCTGGAGCACACATTAACACTACCAGGTAACCACCGGGGACCGGGGAGCCGGTCGGCCGAGCGGACAGCACGCTGGACTTGTGATCCTGTGGTCCTTGGTTCGATCCCAGGCGCCGGCGAGAAACATTGGGCAGTTTCTTTCACCCTATGCCTCTGTTACCTAGCAGTAAAATAGGTACCTGGGTGTTAGTCAGCTGTCACGGGCTGCTTCCTGGGGGTGGAGGCCTGGTCGAGGACCGGGCCGCGGGGACACTAAAAAGCCCCGAAATCATCTCAAGATAACCACTGCTGGACAACATGGTTTAGGTTTAGCGTACGTGATAAAAAGTTCGCTTAGTATTTTTCTGTCCTCTTAGGAAAAGGGTATTGATGGGGAGCAGTCATAGTGAGGAAAACGATTGGAGGGGGGGGGGGGGTATATAACGCCTACATACAAGTACATGTACACAACAATGCATGGATATGTGCATAGACAAGAACACATGTGCAAAATATACCTGATGCAGTGAATGCAAGTCTGTGGTAAGGTGACTATAATATGTCGTATTTTTCAGGTGTGAGAGGCAGTAGCAGTAGAGCAGCAGTAGCAGCACCACAAGCAGCAGCAGCAGCAGCAGCAGCAGCGGCAGAGCACACTACAGCAGTCGACACAGTGCTGGAGGCGTGTGGACGTGTGATGGGTTGCTTGGGTGAGGGTGGTGGGCGTGCTTGAGGCTGCCCTCCACCATGCCCACGGTGCGGCCCACCGGCCCACCACAATCCCACAACCATTTACAGGTTCCCCGCACCGAGTCATCGCAGGTGGCCCGGACTGAGTCGCTGAGGTCTGAGCGGTCTGACAAGAGGGTATCATTCAACAAAGACGTCGGAGTGAAGCACATACCGCGAGGTCAGAAGACCGCAGGAAAGGGCAGTTCTGTGGTGCTTGTTCGAGGTGGAACTCCTCCCTTCCGTGAAGACGAGTGGGCCAACTGCTCCCAGGTGCATCGGGAACCGGTGTCGCTCTCCTCACAAGAGCTAGAGCAGCAGGCTGAACACCTCGTCAAGTTGCTCGATCACGTCAACTGTGACGTCAATACTCGCTCGCTTGATCGACCCCCGAAGAACAAAAATAATAAGAACCTCGCTCACCACACCTACAACAACGTTCTCTTCAATAACGCTAAGAACAACAATAATAACAGCAAGAACACTAACCTGCTGAACGGGGAGGGCCGAGCACGGCAAAGGACTCTTCCCCCTTCCCGTACCACTAATCCCATCACCCGTCGAGTGAAGGGCGACGTCAACCGTGCCACTCATCACCCCATACCCAACGGCGGACCCCTCGCCTACCGCCACAAGTCGGCCGAACACCTCCCAGACACAGACCTGGAGGACTCCCCACCCCTGCCCCGCCGGGCACACCACCCAGCCGCCCACAAGTCAGTTCCTGACCTAAACCTCGGCCAATATTATAACAACAGCGAGGACAGAAGCCACACGTACCAGCCAGAGGGTCACAGCTACAAGTCTGTAGAGAACTTGTACCATGCTGATGGCCACAACCTGAGTCGAGCAGCACATGTAGCTGCCTATAAGTCAGCAGACAACCTAGCAGACATTAACAGTCACGACTCTGGCAGACACCTGCAGGGATTCAAGTCATTGGGTCATTTGCCAACGGAAGCACTCTCTGATACCGACGACGATTACGACCACCAACACCACAACCACCGCCACCACAACCACCAGCATAAACAATCTTACAAGCCCCGGGTAGGGAACATAATCAAGATGTTCAACCAGGATGCTGACGAGCTACGTCGCCACAATCTTATTGAGACCAATGAGATGGAGGCAGGACAGAGGGGCACTCTCGAGCCTGACCGCTACCGCAACCACAATAACAATCAACCCTTCAGCTACACGGGCACGACACCCATTGCCTCTGTTCAGACCGTCAGACGTCTCTCCCCTCCCCGTGACCTAGGCCGCCCTACCCCTCCCCGTGACACTCCACCTAGAGATGCCCCTGTGTATGCCCAAGTCAACAAGCGCGAGGGACGTCCACCTCACAACAATGGCCGCAGAGACCTGGATAGAAATTATCACAACTCTCGCCAGGAGCGAGAATACTCTGCTAAGATCATTATTACTCAGGACGACCATCATGACCATCGCCGTTCACCTTTCCATGACCCGTATGACGAACACTCACCTTACATTGACACGCCCCCAAAGAATCAGTACCAAAATGATCGCCGTGATGATGATGACTATGACGATGATGCATATGAGAGCTACCAGGTGCCAGAGGACAACTTGCGACGCCTTATACACGATGACCTGGAGGAGTACAAGGAGCACTCAAACAACAACATCAACATGTCATCAGTGGGCGTGCAGACCGAGGCACTGCCCAAGGCTCCCACCCGCTCACGCACACGGGCCCATAAAAACCCTGCATCTTCGCCCACAAGGCAGCCCACCCACCAAAAACAGCCTGTGCAGAAGCAGACTCTGCGGCAGCAGGAGAAGCAGCAGGAGCCGAAGCAGCAACCGCAGCCATCAAGTTATCGACAGTCAAAACAGCAAAACTACTTCACTAACCAGAGAGAACAGCAACGAGGTGAGACCAACATCCATAACAACCTGACTTCAGCGTCTCTCGTGCGTCAGGTAAACCATGGTTTTGGCAGAACTGATCGGTCCCCATCACCACCACCTCGGGTATCTGCCACCCGTCAGCCTCGCCGAAATGTGGTGCCACTCTTGTCTGACACCTCTGACTCTGAGGCAGAATATCGGCGGCCAACAGTGGACCCACTAGCCAGGATCAGAGACCAGGTTATGCAGCGGGAGAAGCTCCAAGAGGAGGAAGAAGAGGAGGAAGAAACTCACTTGAGGCGGCCACTGGGACCACTGCAAGAGAGTGGCGTGATGCCCTACCGGCCAGAGGAGATGACACCTTTGACCATCGATGAAGTAGATGCCCTCAGCCTCGTCATGGAAGACACTGGAAGGAAGTCCTTGGTGGTCTCAAATCAAGCACAGTCAACCACTGTCACCCGCGTCTCCAACCACCATCACCGGTCGCGACATTCAGAAACTGTAACAGAACATTACCACACCCATGAACCACGTGACAAAGACAGCCTCTCGCGCCCTCAAAAGCCTGTACGGGAGAAGAACCAAGTGTCGCGTGAAGCCACACCCACACGCAAGGGTAGGGACACTCCCACTCACAAGGACCCTCCCACCATTGAGAAGAACAAGAAGAATAATCTGGAGAAGGAACGTGCCAGTAAAGCTGCGGCCAAACACAAGGAAGAAAAGGAAAAGGAAAAGGAGAAGAAGAAGAAAAAGAAAATCAAGATCAAGTTTTTCTACGACCCTCGGCCTCAGGACGACCCCAATGTTGATCCACTTGCTAACTTCAAAGAGTTCCGCGGTACCTCCTCTGATGAAAGAGCCTCTCCTCAGGACGACCACAGAGATGACCGTAAAAACGACATTGATGATCGACGTGAAGAACCCAAAGTCAAACGGCACAGTGAAGAGCGGGAGATTCGGGATGACTACCACCCCCAGCGGGAGGTTCGGGATGACTACCACCCCCAGCGGGAGGTTCGGGATGACTACCACCCCCAGCGGGAGGTTCGGGATGACTACCACCCCCAGCGGGAGGTTCATGAAGACTACCATACCCAACGACGGGGACTTCCAGATGTGCTGGAAGATGCTGCGCCTCTCAGAGAACGCCGTGTTGGGTCCCGAGAGCGACTGGAAGTAACACCTAAAACTAATAAACGTATTCAGCGAGATACCCGTGATGCTAGATCCAGTCGTGAGCGCTCTTATGATTCTTACGATTACAAGCGCCGTGACTCAAAAGACTCCAGGGAATCCCGTGATGACCGGAGCCGTTCCCGGGATGAGCGCATATCTTACAACGAATCGACTGATGAACGACGTAACCACCGAGAGCGAGACTATGATAACCACGAGAATGACGACAACGAAGAGCGGGGATCTCCGGATGGCAGGCCAGGTCGTAGCCTGAGTGACAAATACCGTACTGGACCCCTCTATGACCCCCCTGATAACCCTCATAAGGATGACCCCCACCAGGATGACAAGAACCCACACCCTCCTCAACCACAGCCCCCTCCAGAGGTACTCATTATACATAGTCACATATTTATGAACCCATCTTGCAGAATACCCATCTATCCAGTTATAACTATATCCATCCATATGACAAATATAGTCTAATTTTTCAAGCCAACGTAAACATATATGTAATATATCCAAACATGTAAGCGTAATACATATATCAGTAAATGTAATACATATATCAGTAAATGTAATACATATATCAGTAAATGTAATACATATATTAGTAAATGTAATACATATATCAGTAAATGTAATACATATATTAGTAAACGTAATACATATATTAGTAAATGTAATACATATATTAGTGAATGTAATACATATATTAGTAAATGTAATACGTAAAACAACGTAAACATACTTGGCACATTTTCATTTTTTATAAAGAGTAGAGAAATTGAACACTTTCTTATGCATAATAAAAGAGGAGGTGTGTATATGCAGTTGTTCCAATTTCTTCTTGTTTTCCAGGAGGAGGAGAAGAAAGAGAAGATTATGCGCCAGAGAAACAAATTCCTGTCAGTACTGATGAGTGATGGCCGGAACAAGTCTTCCAACACTAAGGCTCCAAACGTCAAGACGTCCAAGACCAAGTCCTCCTCCAACACCAAAGCTTCCAATAACAAACCTTCCACCACCACTACAGCCACAACCACTAAAGTCAAGTCCAGTGACCCAGCACCATCGAGCAAGTCCAAGAAAGGGCCAGCGCCTCCACAGCCGTCGTCCACATCCCCGCCGGCGCAGGACACACCGGATAAGGCCAAACCACAGGTGAGCCAGACCTATCTGTGGCCCTAAAATGACCTGGATCACGATACATCAGGTATTTAAATACCACCTTACGAAACCTGTACATCTTTCCTTTGTAATAGCTGTTTAGTCTGCATTCACTGAACATTTTACAATCTTCGAAACTTTGCAGCCCAAGGTTATTATTCTCATGGGCAACATCTTAGTATTGGGGAGCTCATAAACTGTTGAATAAATGCAAACTGACATTATATCATTGAGGAAAGGTGTAAAGGTTTCGTAAATTTGAGCGTAAATGCTTGATGAATCCTAGTCCTAACGAACGGTATTTGACCTGAGCTAACTGGGCCATCTCCCAAACTAGACCACATCTTTAACTAAACTAGGATATAAAAATCATCCCAGAACTATGACTCTTACCGGGAACGGTTGAAAACCACACGACTAAAACACTGCCAGCTAGACAACGCGACTAATCTCCCCCAGACGTTTAAAATACCGAACAAGTTGGAGGATATTAATCCGGGCTTTTTTAAAAGGCCCAATGTAATGATTCAAGAGTGTACAGCTTCAAACTAGAGCCACATTGAAGGAGAGACAGCAGATATTTTTATACCCACAGGGTTATAAACTAACGGAATTGCTTTCCCCGTTCAGTCGTAAATGTCAAGACGGCATTTACGGCAGTTCAAAATTAAGCTGCAAAAAAATTTAAAAAATTAAGCAGGAAAAGAATGAAAGCAGGAGACCATTAACAAGTTGTCAGCATTTTGTCCCCGTCGAAACCTTGTCGAAAGGACAAGAACGACCTCCTCAAGTCGTTGTGTCCTTATCAAGGCCACTGGAGACAGTGGCCCTCAGGGGTTCCTGTTCCCTCTCGAGGGCACTACAAGTGATGTCCCTCAGGGCTTCCTGTTCCCTCTCGAGGGCACTACAAGTGATGTCCCTCAGGGCTTCCTGTTCCCTCTCGAGGGCACTACAAGTGATGTCCCTCAGGGCTTCCTGTTCCCTCTCGAGCGCACTACAAGTGATGTCCCTCAGGGCTTCCTGTCCCCATCAAGGGCATCAGGCATCGTGGCTCTCAGCCGGACGCGGATAAACTCACCCTGACTAACGCAAGAGCAGACCTCAACTTTACCAGTGTATATGCTACTTAGATTACTAACTGATTTCATGCGTGTCAGAATATGCTTTGACCTGATTTATCAGACCAACATGAAAACTCTCGATTTCCTGATCCAACAAAAAAATTACACCAGATCCTGACCAAATTATATTAGTCTCATGGAATTCTACACACACACACACACACACACACACACACACACACACACACACACACACACACACACACACACACACACACACACACACACACACACACACACACACACACACACACACACACACACACACACACACACACACACACACACACACACACACACACATACACACACACACACACACACACACACACACACACACACACACACACACACACACACACACACACACACACACACACACACACACACACACACACACACACACACACACACACACACACACACACACACACACACACACACACACACACACACACACACACACACACACACACACACCACATATATAGCTTTATCATATATATATATATATATATATATATATATATATATATATATATATATATATATATATATATATATATATATATATATGTCGTACCTAGTAGCCAGAACTCACTTCTCAGCCTACTATTCAAGGCCCGATTTGCCTAATAAGCCAAGTTTTCCTGAATTAATATATTTACTATAATTTTTTTCTTATGAAATGATAAAGCAACCCTTTTCTCTATGTATGAGGTCAATTTTTTTTTATTGGAGTTAAAATTAACGTAGATATATGACCGAACCTAACCAACCCTACCTAACCTAACCTAACCTATATTTATAGGTAAGGTTAGGTTAGGTAGCCAAAAAAAGCTAGGTTAGGTTAGGTTAGGTAGGTTAGGTAGACGAAAAAACATTAATTCATGAAAACTTGGCTTATTAGGCAAATCGGGCCTTGCATAGTAGGCTGAGAAGTGAGTTCTGGCTACTAGGTACGACTATTCAAGGCCCGATTTGCCTAATAAGCCAAGTTTTCATGAATTAATATTTTTTCGTCTACCTAATACCTAACCTAATAACCTAGCTTTTTTTGGCTACCTATATATATATATATATATATATATATATATATATATATATATATATATATATATATATATATTATATATACTATATATATATATATATATATATATATATATATATATATATATATATATATATATATATATATATATATATATATACATATATATATATTTGCGGCGAGGCAGTTGCCAACAGGTACGGACGGCATGGCTTTCTTTGGCAAAGGACAGTAGGATAGCATGCAAGACACGGCGAGGTTAATGACATTATTAAGAGTACGCTTACCACAGCCGGTTGTCCAGCAGAGAGAGAGACCCGTTACCTAATGCCTCGCATCTCTGATGAGTCTGTCGGTCGCCCAGACGAGATCACGGTGAACCCCAGGAAGAATGGTAGACAGTTGGTGTGGGACAACAATAGCGTTTCAACTATAGCCAACACCTATGTTGACTTCAGTGCTGCACAACCAGGAGGTGCAGCCAATCACCGGGAAGCAGCCAATTCGCGTCAATACAGAGATCTGGATTACCACTACAATTTTGTCCCCATTGCCTCAGAGACACTTGGTGCCTGAGGTAAAAGTGCTGCTAGTTTTTTGAAAGAGCTGGGTTCCAAGCTAATTGAAACAACTAAAGACTCCTAGAGCTGCCAGTTTCCTCTTTCAGCGCCTTAGTGTGGCAATCTAGAGAGGAAATGCTCACTGCATCCATGGTACCTGCCCGCCATCTGAGGAGCTGGAGGAGCTCTACAGCCTGTGACAAGTAGCCTTGTACCCTGCATGTAACCAATGTTGTAACCTTTTTTGTGTAATGAAATTAAAAAAAAAAGGATATATATATACAGAGAGAGAGAGAGAGAGAGAGAGAGAGAGAGAGAGAGAGAGAGAGAGAGAGAGAGAGAGAGAGAGAGAGAGAGAGAGAGAGAGATGTAAAGTGCCAACAGCACGAACACTCAGAGTAGTGTGGAGAAAAGGCTTGGACACTGGGAAGGTATCCGCAGCACTTACATTAGCAGATAGATCCCTTACACAAGGGAGGGATCAAAGCATTAGCTAATAATCACAGACCAGTCCCATTTACATCACACACATATTAAAGGTTTTTGTAAGAGTGACGAGGAGTCAGATTTCCAGCTTCATGTAGAGCAATGACCTCAACATCCCAGGTCAACTTGGATTTAGAGAGGAAAGGTCATGTCCTCCTCAGTTACTGGACCACTTTGACCAAATCACAAAAGGATCAGAAGACAAACAGAATACAGATGTGGTATACACAGACTTTGCAAAGGCATTTGATTAGTGTAACCATGGAGTGATAACCCGTAAAATGAGATCAATATGAGCAACAGGTAAAGTAAGGCGATGGATTTTAAATTTTATGTCAAACATTATGTAAAGAATAAGTCAAACTAAATCAAGTCCAAGTATATTGAAAAGCTCTGTATCTCAGGGCACAGTCCTTGCACGACTGTTTTTTCCTATTCTCATATAAGATATAGACCACAATATAAGATATAGACCACAATATAAGATATAGACCACAATATAAGATATAGACCACAATATAAGATATAGACCACAATATAAGATATAGACCACAATATAAGATATAGACCACAATATAAGATATAGACCACAATATAAGATATAGACCACAATATAAGATATAGACCACAATATAAGATATAGACCACAGTGCAAATCACAGTTTTGTGTCATCTTTTACAGTTGACACAAAATATATGAAAATCTCATCTGTTGGATACATTGAAAATCACAACCTGGGAATAATTATATCAGATGATCTAACATTTACTGAACATAATCAAGCAAATACAGCATCAGCTAATAAAATTATAGAATGGATTATGAGATCCTCCAAATCCATGGATCCTATCATAATGCTCACATTATTCAGGTCACTGGTGCTGTCCCGCCTTGAGTACTGCTCAGTACTCACCTCTCCCTTCAGAGCAGGAGAGATGGCTGAAATAGAGGGAATACAGAGACCATATATGGCATACATAGACGCGATAAAGCACCTAAATTATTGGGATCGTCTCAAAGCTCTCCAAATGTAGTCTCTGGAAAGGAGATATAAGAGTTATCAGATAGTATATACATGGAAGATACTGGAGGAACAGGTCCTAATTTTTCACAGTAAAATAACAACACACTGAGCACACAATATGGTGGGTATGCCAGTGAAGAGCAGAGGTCCCATAAGCACAATCAGAGAACACGTTATAAGAGAGATCCACGTATGTCCAACATCCTCCCATCAACTATACAAAATATCGCTGGAACAAAATTGAACTGTTTCCAGAAAAAAGAAAACAGTTTCCTGCAAAAAATGGCAGTCCCAACCAAGTTGTTGTGAATATTTGGCCTGCGAGTTGCTCCAAGCAACCTGTTGGACCAAGCTCTCACAAGTCAAGCCTGGCCTCGGGCCGGGCTTGGGGCGTAGAAGAACTCCCAGAACCCCATCAACCAGGTACACTCCAGATATTGACCTCTGAACAATGACCTTGATCTGACGTAGACTAGTCCTACAGCTGACGTCACCATAATTAACATGAACTGGACAATTACAAAACCAGACTAACACTTAAGTGGTGATTTTTACACATAAAAAATGACTTATAAATAAATAAAAAATGAGCCCCTGTGTGACACGCCATAGAGCCCCCCACGTGACACGCCATAGAGCCCCCTGTGTGACACGCCATAGAGCCCCCTGTGTGACACGGCATAGAGCCCTGTGTGACACGCCATAGAGACCCAGGCATCACTACAGTGCCGGGAACCTCTCCGTGGAC